ACGGGGCGGAGAGTGTCGAAAATGGCAATTAAGTTTGAGAGAGAACGGAGCGTCTGATTTGAATGACTCAAAAATCATTCTACTTGTATTGATGTAATGAAGAATTGAATTAATTTTAGCAAAGGCAGGTCGAGCGGCTTTGGAGATCCAAAAGAAAAAAATGTTTAAAAACGCATTTGGCGGTTAAAATTCAGATATCTTCTTCGACATTATGGATCAACCGACATGAATTGGTATCAAAAACTCTTAAGAAATTTCAAAACTAAAAAAAAATTAGAAAATTAAAGTTTTCAAAAAAAATAAGAATTTTTAAAAATGGCATTTTTTCAATATTAAAATTTTCCAAAGGTTTTCAAAATATTCAAAAATGTTCAAAAAATATTCGAAATTCTCAAAAAAAATCTATTTTTTCTCTTTTCTGACCTTAAAAAATTAAATTACGGTACAGAAAGTTCTAGCAATTTGCTTTAAGGCACGCGATGCATTTTAAAATTTCACTCTAATATGACTTTTGCTGTTAAAATTACTATATATTCTATGCATTCAAATTTATTATATTTCATATTTGTTGAACTTAACGTATGTTCAGTATAAATTAGGCTGACCTTTATGCAAATGATTTGAAATAACATCTTACCTTAATATGTTTTATGGTAATGCTCTTAATAGAATAATTTGTACTACCTAATATAAATGTATGCTATTGTAACATTTGTGACATTTGTAAAAAAATCGAGTCGTAATCAAAGAATGATATGAGAAGGGTTATTTTTCTCATTAATTTGGAATACAGTATAGTAGAAACTATAAAATGGCTAAAATAATTTATTTTCTACCTTTTTTTCATAATTTACCGGCGATCAGTTAAAATATATACTGAAAGTTAATGAAGATTTCTGAAATATCTATATTTGAGAACACGCAAAGCTTTCCCTGTACAAGTAATTTTTTTATCTGTACTTAATTTTTTTTATTTTTGGTTTTAATAACTACTTATTTGTATTTCATATTAAGGATTTGTCAAGTTTTTCTGGATATACTCCTTGGGCTATGTAATAGTAAAATAAATAAAATAAAATCGCGCACTTCTACTATGGATATATATGCACTATAACTATTTCTATACACTACTCCGTAGGCTATGATTTATAGGCATACAGATATAAATCGAAATCTGAATTTGATTTGTGAAATGAATGGACGTACTCGCCTACTTTATTAATATGGCGTGGTTCCAGAAAACTGATTTATATTCTTATTATACTTGACATTATGCCGGGCCGGATTTTCGTAGAAATGCAGCGTGTTAAATGTTTATACTATATAGAAACAGTATTTTTAAGAAAATGGATTATTTAAATTATTTAGTAACGTTTGAAACTATCAAAGCCTCTAGAGTTTTTATTTATTGAAAAATGTTTTATTAATTAATCAAAAATCTCATTCAATTTAATCTATTATTCACTTCCTGAGAATGTATAAGTATGTGCAACACAAAATTTTAACTTTCGTGAGCATTTCTAATCATAAATCTTAATTTTTTTTGTCATTAATAAATAATTTATTAATGAAAACGTTATTTATGAAGATATAGATATAGTTAGCTTTATTTATTCAATGAATATTCATTCTTTCCCTTTACATAAGTATTGGTACCAATTATGGTAACGATAAAACTCTCAGGAAATTTTGATGTCAAATTGAGGACACTCCACTAAAAATTCTTTTAAAATTATATGAATTATCATGAATAAGTTTTTTGTTGGAGTTATTTTATATATATTTTTTAAAAATAATTTTTTATTTCAGATTACTCTTCTAATAGTTTTCACTTCAAATCCTGCTTCTGGACCTGGATGATAGACCATGCTGATCTAAGTAGTTTATCATGTTGCTCAGAAGACGCAGACTAAACCTCAATGTTGCAATTCCAGTGCTTATATATTTTTTTAAATAAATAATGAGATAAAACCCAAATTGTTATTTCAAACAGCTAATAAAAATAAATAATGAGATAAACTTTTTAACCATTAATGAATTTGAATTTGTGTTGTATTTAAATTTCCTTGGCATCCACCTGCGCACAAACATAAACTGAGATAATTATATTCATTCCACACTATAGTATAGTACCTAAATTACCAACACTTATTTCATATTAAGATTATATAAATCAAGAGCCAGTTTCAATTTTTGTTTCAATTTAATGTTCCAATTTTTATTCAATTTATAATTAATATATTTAATAAATATTTATCAAAAAAAAAGATGAGATTTTTTACACTGTTAATATATATAATTCTACCTGTATGTTTAATTTTTATGTTATCACATTATCTTAAGGTATATAAACAGTTTCTTATTCACAAATAACAATATTTACTATTAAAATATGGCGTATTAAATGTCTGTGGTATTGTGCATAATTATTGTAACAAAATCGATATTTGTTTATTACATGCAGACAGTTATATATATTTTTTTTTTAAATTTACATTTACGAGAATGTTCAATTCAATGGTTGAATAGATTCTGTTACAAGTGAATATATTGGTAGTGTAATGTATTTCAGTATATCTAATAGGACATTACATTCTGTAATGGTGAAGGTTTATTGTGCAGGTATACATTACAATAATTTTGATATAACAATTATTTCAGATGTATAATACATCGACTATGGAACAATGAGTTATATAACTAAACTTCATTTAATTGATTTTTTTATAGATTCCATAAACATTCCTGAAAAAAATGTCATGATTCTTGATTGCCTTGAAAGAAATAACATCTAAGAGATATAAACAATCTTTTGGCTTGTGATTTGACTAACATTTAAACTTTTATCATTGTGAATTGTAAATTGCATTAGCTCGACTGGTTATCTGCTGGGCCATTCTTCAAAGTTATTTCAAGTTCTAATTGTTTCTGGTGTTGTTATACTGCTCTTCAGAATAATACTGTAATTATTTTGAGTTGTAAATTATTTATGTATCAGACAGGGACGATGAAATATGATTTCATTATTGATCTCCAAGCAGTTGTTGAACACAGAATTGCAAATTAATGTAATATATTTAAGATAAACATCCCAGTAAACACTATGTGTTGCCGTAATGTAACTGAGTAACAAATTTATATTATAAATGTTGACTAAATGTAATGATTCGTTCTTATATAATTCCATGAGGCCAATATATGTATTTTGTTATTAAAAAACTTCATATTAAATGAATAATTTGTGTATGAATACTTCAAGCAGAAACTATCAAAGCTCATGAAAAAATACGTATAAATTTGTGTAAAAAAAAATCTACACTCTGGCACAAATATGTAAAATATTCAATGAAAATATAGAACATTATTTGCAAATATGAGTTCTCTTACAACATGTTCAATTTCATTTATTTATTTAATAATAATATTAAATTTATATATATTTTTGTTATAATACTTGTTTAATAATATGTGGTAATTGTGCCAGTTTTGTATTCAAACTTTTCAATATAATCTTATTATTTTATATTGTCAATATAATCATCTCCGTATTTTTTTTATTAGCAAAGATATATAAAGAAACCTAAACATTTTTTGACTTCTTAAATATTTCTGAACTACATTAATTCAGATATTTCTGTGTGTAATTTGATTGAATTCATATTGTAATTGAATTTAAAGCTAAGTGTAAGTGGCATTTTGTTTCAGGGATAGTTGCATGAACTTGTCGATATAGGAAAATAATCAACAGGACAATCAATATGAATTGAGATTTAACAATTTATAATTTTGTGTCAATAGAATTTTCAGTTCGAATACTTTTGAGGAAAGTATTCAGTTCAGAAGTGAAAATATAACATATATAATATTTAATAGCATTCTAATCATTTTTAAATACCATACCATACTTTATATACCATTTATATATGGTCTGTCTGTGAGTAATAAAAATAATCAAACGAGGAAAATTATCCTCTGACTGTTTTATGTAGTGATTTATAGTATATTGAATGTTTTATATTATTAGTCTATATTATTCGTATTGATAAGGAGACGTGCTGATTAGTTTTGGCAAAGGCAGGTCTAGTCGTTCCGAAGATATGGGGCAAAAAGTCCGATTTGAATAATTCAAAAAACGTTTTACTTGTATTAACAAGATAAACAACTGATCAAATTTTCATGAAGGCAGGCCTAGCAGTTTCGGAGATCTAGTAATAAAAGTAAAAAAAAATACCATCTGGCGGTCAAAAATGATCATTACACATATGCACATCAAATTATCAGATATTTTATTGAGATTTTAACAATAAATATAAATTTTGTTTTAAATTCCTATGGGTTCCGTACGAATGCTTATCCGTTAGACGGCGGCGTGGCGCTTACGCGCTTCGATATTTCGTCTCTATGCAGTTAAAGCAGTACGATTGCTTTGAATAGAAGTTTAGAATTTCCAAAATATTTCTAAATGCACTTTTCTTCGAAAAGTCTTTTTTTCAAAAAAAAGTAAATTTTTGTCAAAAATTTATAGTTTCTCAAAAATCTAGTTTTTCAGAGTAATTTTTTTTCGAAAATGTTAATCTTTTGAAAAAAAATAATGTCTGGTACGGGAAGTTCCAGCAATTTGCCTTAAGGCACGTTGCAATGCGCCCCACTAGTTTTCATTTCAAATTTTGCGCCATTAATTTGAATGCCGAAAACAGCGCCTTCACGTCTGAGCGGAGGACCCTTTAAGTATCCCTTCTGAACGTAAAAATCGGGAGAGAGAAACGGCTTTTATTTATATGAATAAATCATATTCTAGGGTACAAATTACTGTGACGCAGATTAAGTTAAAAATTAAGTATTTAAATTTCAAAATAACCTCTAAAATAATTGACACCGCACTTGTGTCAGCTGAAGTTGTGTTGTGTTATCTACAGATGGCAACACTGTTCGTACGTCAATATGACGTTTACGTCAGATCTATTGGTCAAATACTAATGTTGAATTAGAAGTGAATCGATATGGAGTCGTAACACGAATATTTTAAATTTATGAATATGTGAAATGTGCATTGTACGAAATAGTGTATGTAAATATTATGTGTAGGATAGTAAAGATATTTTCCGTGTGGTAATTTGTAGCAGTCACGATGAACTGTCATCAAATATTAAGTGGTGCCTGTAATGCAGGAGATCGATGTTTTGCTGTTGGTTCTGTCGAAGGAATCCCATTCACGGTATTGCACAATTAATAATAACACTCATAAATGTTTTATAAATATTTTCAAATGTTGTAAGTTTTTGCTACGTTGCCATCGTTTCCTATGCCTATCCATATAGAGCAAAAAAATTAATCAGCTGACTACACAACACATTCATAGATTAATATTGTCTTAAACAAACACAGATATATTTACATATTGTATTGTAGTTAATTAATATCGCGGCGATATAGTTTTCCTATTGTCTGAACAAACTATTTAGAATATTGTTTCTTGAAACTTCTTTTTTAAAGTATTAATATGCTTAATTATATTGTTGATATAAATATATTATGTTTATAATAGTTCTTCAAGACTATAGTCTTGCTTCTTGAAAGTTGTTTTTTAAACTAATTGAAAATAAATTAACGATTAACATTGGAAAATTTTAAACAAAAAAAATGCAAGGAAATTACTAAAATAAACATTAGAATAAATAATACAGACATAGAAGAAGTGGAATACATAAAATACTTGGGCCTTATAATATACAAAACATATAAATGAAATTAAAAACAAGATATCGGTAATAACGGGAGCTTTGAAACAGATCCACAAATAGGATACTAATTTTGAAAGCGCATATAATACCCATAATTTTATATGGGATAACTACTTGGAGACAAACAACTAAAGCTAACTTAAATGACATACATATAATAGTAAGTAAAGCCATAAAAATATCATATAATTTTCCACATTTTACACCCACTAAATACTTACAGACAGACTCATTCACTAAACAACATAATTAAAATAGAGAAATGCAAATTAATACACAAAATGAAATATAACAGAATTAAAACACAAGCACAACAATAGACATAATTCAAGATATACACGAACACTCCACTAGACAACACGAACATTTTCACATCGAACATAATAGAAAGAAGAAATTAAGAGTAAATGTCATATGGAGCGCAAGTAAAATAATATGAATATAATGAACTGCGAATCGATATTAAAAATACCAGTGATGACAAAAATTTCAAAAGAAAAATAAAGTAATATTATAAAGAAATTGAAGATTGAATGGATATTTAATATATAATAAATATTATATTATTGTAGAATGAAATAGACAAATGATATGTATATATAAAATATGAAAATTGATTTATAATCTCTCATACCAGACACCCCTGTCTAACTGAGATATGAAAATAATATATAAATAAATAAAAAAAATATAATAAATAAAAAAAAGAAAAAAATAAGAAGAAAAGAATCTCGCTTTCTTTAAGTTTTTTCAAGCATTTATTATGAATCATTGTTAAAATAAATATAGTCTATTCACAACATTTTCTTAAGTGCAATAGCTATGTCATAAAATTTATAAAAATTGTATACATTACAATTTTAAAATATTCTATTATATTATTCTAGGCATATGCAGCAGGTTGTAACATTGTTATTTTGGCCAGCACTTTTGAACGTGTCCAAATTATTCCTGGAGCTGTTCACAATTATATTCGAATATCATCTCTCGACTGTAGCACAGACACTGGCAAAATAGCAGCAGCCTATGAAGATCAAGTGTGCATTTTTGAGCCAACGCCATTAATACACAATGATAGTTCACACGTATGTAATTTTTATTCAAAACATTAATAAATAGAATGAAAGCTTTTTCAAAATTATTTAGTTTTACATTAATTTTGATGTACGTTTTTGAATAACTATTTTTTATGTAAGCAAAAAATTGAGTTAGGCTAAGATTCAGAACTGGTCAGAAAAAGTTTCATTTTTTTCTAAATACTTTTTTTGTATTTATTATATGTATTCAATTATTTAATCATTGTATGTGTTTGTGCTGGCATTGCATAATTTGTTTCCCAGTGTAGCATTTGTATACCATTCATATGACATTATTTGGTAAATCTTAAAGTATTAAGTATAAATATGCATTAATATTTTCACTGATGTCACAATCCTCAATTTTTACTCTATATTAATGTTTCTCAATTCAGGGATTAGAGTATCGTTGGGTCCAGACAGGACGCTTACAGGCAGATTCCCATATCGCTGCTTTATCATGGAATTTAGAAGGAACTCGTCTCTTAACTGGAGGAGCAGTACTTCAAATGTGGCACCAAAAATTGGTACCACTAGATCACGATCTTGCAGAACCTTCTCAAGGTAATTGAGCGATATAAAGTAATGTTATTGCTCAAGTTTACTATCAATAAAGTCTAATTTGTCTATATGTTTAATGTAATTTTTAATCAAATACTTACTTTAGGCGTTATTTACTCATGATGTGTACATATTAAATAGCATAAGTTAGATAATTATATTTGTGCTAATATTTCAAAGACTTTTTATAATAATGTATACTATCATCTAATAGTTTAGATAAATTTATTAAAATTATAAAAATATTTGTTTCTGAAGCCCATATTGTAATTAATCATTAATATTATTAAAATTAACATACTATTTAATTGAACTAAATTTTTATATTTATATTTTAGGTGTGGACATTCCAAATTGGAGGTGACAGAGATAGTAAAGTTTTACCTGAACCAGAGGAAGGAAAAGATGATCAGGTAAATTTCATATTGAAATATTTGTAATATAATACTAATCTTATTGTAGTAGAATATTATAATAATTACTTATTATGAAGGGTGGTGGGACTGCGTTTGGAAATGCAAAAACTGCTACTCCTGTGTATCATATGGAGTTTAGCCCTGATGGTACACTATTTGCAACATCTGGTAAAAATGATAGACTTGTCAAGATTTGGTATGAAAATAAACATTTATTGTTTCCGTCAAAGAGCATGGACAATAATCCAATATGCAAGTCATAATCAGGAACAAATTATGGCTTTGTCTATATAGCTCATCCAAGAGCATTAACACATCTCTCTTGGCGTAAAACAAGCAAATATATGCCCAAAGGTTCAGTATCAAATATGCTGGTAACTTCTTGTCTGGATAATATCTGTCGAATTTGGTGGTGGAAACTGTTTTACCTGATGATGGTTTAGTTAATATGAATCAGTTTGATCCATTGGCTTCACAGAATCCTAAATTTAGAACTCACAGACATAAGCATCGGTTTATGCAGAGATTGAAACATATGAAAACGTGTTTTCATATAAGAAGGCATGCCAAACATCATGGTAATTTACCCAATGGCGGGTTAGGTGGGCAATCTCCTATACCAACTTTGCCCTCGACAATAGTGTGCATGATTTCCATTTCATATGGATATCATGGAACTGGCGTTACACCAGGTATAATATAAATAACTTTGAAAACTTTATCAGTGTGATGATGCAAAGATTTTAAAGTATTGTTCAAATAAATAATTCAATACAATTTTTCTTGCAGGATTACATTTTCATCTTGCTGCATCTATTAATGCAGAAACTGATATTCCTTTAGTTCCTTCGATGAAATCTTCTCATCCTTCACAACAAGATCCCTCATTCATACTTCATTGGTTAAATAATAAAGAAATGCATTTTAGTTTGCAAGCTGAAGCAATTTTACAGGAACTCACTAGAAAAGTTGTCGAAAAGGAAGAAGCAGCAGCTAATATCACACATGTACAAAATCCAAGGTATTTATACTGACAACTTAGCTTGTTATATACCATTTAAATATATTTTATGTCCTCAAATATAATGAAACATGCCGTTTTCTATTGTTAACATATTATTTTTCTTGATTTAGCTGTCTATCATTAATAACATATATATTCAAATAGAGTTTTTTTTGTGTATAAGCTCTTATAATTCAGTAGAAATAGAGCTTTTAGTCTTTAGAATCTTATAAGTTTTCAGAATATTTTCTTAATTTCTATCGATATGTACATGAAAGTAATAACCAGTTTATACAGAGCATTAATTATTCAATAATGTGCATTAAATTTCATAAAATGATTTATAATATATTTTTATATATCTAACAAGTATTGTGGAACCCAATGATGAAGAAAGTAAAAAAATGGGTCGTGTAAATAAATCATATTCGCAAGATGAAAGCGGTAGTGATGAGCATGTCATGAGCAACATCAACAAAACACACGATCCCTCTTTATCAAATACAACATCCATCAATTCCTTTGCAACTGACGTAACTGGAGGAGGTGGTGGCATAGGAATGCATATTACTGATTCGCTTGATATGAAAATAGATTGCTTATTGCGAGATTGGCATCATAGTCCCGACCTACTATTTTCAGTACATCCAATTGATGGCAGTTTTCTTATATGGTAAGTGAAAATATTAAAGCATAATTTCACATTATATATATATTGAAATTCTACTTAATACATTTCAAAGTATACAAGTATAGAAGCAATTTTTTATTATGAATGTGACACAATTTATATTATGATTTATTACTGGAATTACTTAGAACATCATATGTAAACGTTGTTCTAATTATAAAATATTTATTTTAAAACATGATGTTTTATTACTTATTAGTGATATATAAAGATTATTTTAATTTTAAAAGGGTTGTGGAATGGTTGGATGAATATCATCCTGGCTCATTTCGCCAAGCCCAAGTATCTTTCAGCACTAGAATTCCTGGAGCTTTTCCTCTTGGCGATGCTATGAGTATGGCTACTACTTTATCTTTGTACAATACAACAGGATCACATCAATTCAGAGATATGGTGCGAGCAGCAAAACCAACTTCACAAAAGACGGTAAATAGATTATACTTCATATTCATCAATTTTTTTTGTAAATGGCCAATAATATTTATTATGAAGAATATCAAGAGTCAATTATTTTAACTCTAGTATTTATTTTGAATCAATAATTATATTTTAGGGTGTTGAGATTGGCATAGAAGCATCAGCCAGTCCACTTCCTAGCGTTGTGGAAGAGGATCAGACTGCACCGGAATGGCCAAAAAATGCAGATGACCAACATGAGAAACCATCTACTGATCCACCAAGTGAGATTTAAAAATTTTAACATAAATTTTATACAAATAACAATTACTTAATTTATAGGTCCTGCACCATCAGGCGAAAATCATACACCACATTCTGCAAGTATGATACTTAATTCAACCACAAGCGATATGCTTTCAGCACCTCCATCGCCTGTTATATCTATGGTTTCAAAACATTCAAATGGCACTTTGAATCTTTGGCAGTTAACTTTTGCAGATAAATCAAAGTTTTCTCAGGTAAGCTTTATATAATCTTTATCTTTATATTATCTATTCTATACTATATGCAATAACACTTTTATTAAATAAAATAACATAAAGCTGCATCGTGATAAAAATCATTAACAGTTTTATAAATATATATTTTGCACAGGTACTTAGCATTGGTCATGCATCAAGGGCTTCTGGGCACAGATTTCGAGTCAATGATATCACATGTCATCCTGTTCTACCTCTTCTTTTAACGACTTCTCATCATAATATTCCAGGTAATGTGTAATATTTTTCATAATAATTTTAATAATTTCTATTTATATTTTTAATTATATGTTTATTTACTTTCCTATTTAATAAATGTAATGTAGTAACAAAAATTACAAACTTTATAATTGTTCTAAATATAATATTAATTTATCAGATTTTCCAACTGTTCCTGGAGCCCCGCGTCCAACACAAACTGAAAAATCGGCAAGTTCTACTCCGACTTACGAGCATTTTGTTAACAAGGACGTTTTTTCTCCAACCGGTTTTTGTTCTGAATTGATTTTGTGGCGTGTTGATGCAGTCGGTCCGTTGTCGAAGTCGGGTGGAGTTAGTGAACTTGCTAGAATAAATAGTCCAGAAATATCTGCATTCAGTAATGTTGCTTGGATTCCCACTCTGTTACCAAGGTAAATTTTTATATGATTTATACGATTTTCAAATTGTGTGAAATGTGTAAACTTTATCCGAGATAATAGCAAGACTTACTACTTGGTTTAAATTTTCTAGTATCCCAAAGTCTAAACGCACCTTTGTTTATTAAATATTCATTATATTTTCTGTAATTTTTATGAAGGAAAAAAATATATATCATCTTAGTTTGCTCAATATAATGATTAATAATTACTTTATGATCTTGGATGCTGCAGGAAAATGAACATTATACAATTGAATAATTTGTGTAACAGCAACTAACTGGAAAACTGGAATATATTTTTCCTGCTGTAATACTAAATATATTTATTTATCAGAGAGTTGTTCGATATACATATACAATAATGATCGAATTTTTATTAATCCGTCAATTTCTGATCTATCCATATGAAAATAATCTATCAGTATATTCTTGTTTCAGTACTACTTTGGGAAACTTGAGCAATTCGCCATCAGCATGTTTTGTAGCCAGTGATGGGGAATGCTTGCGAGTATATCAAGCTGTTATTGATGCTCGAACTTTGTTAGCTGAAATTAGTTTGTCTGAAAGAAGATCCAAGATGAAGGTATGTAATAAATTGTTAATAAATACATTTTAATTCATGTATCCAAAGTTTGCTTTCAGTTATATGTCTTCTTCTATATATCTACTTTTTATTAAAGGATTCTATGATGTCTCTATCTTCTGCTTGCTCATCGGAAGTAGCGGGTCCAGCTTTTCCTTTACAAGAGAGAATTAAAATAGTTTCACAACAGTCGACTGCGCGGCCTGGTTGTGTGATACAATTAGATGCTATTGAAGATGCAACGCACGATTGGCAAAATACGCAGTTTCTTCATGTGTTTCAAGAGCAGTTGATTACAGGTTAACAATAGTTAAAATCTTGGCATAATATTAATCTAAATAATGGATAAACTTCAAAAATGTTTATTTTTTTATTCTAGGTGAACGTACTGAAGACAAAACAACTCCATTATTTCAAAGTTCTGCTGATCTAAGAGAAGGAACTCCGAACTTAATGGAGTCTCAACTAGGAGCTATGGTTGATTTACAACAAAACGCTGTGTTTGAAGAACCATTTTACATTGTTGTCCTAGAACGTACTGCTAAAGGCACTACTGTCCATATGTGGAGATTAGTCATAGCATCCCAGCCTGACCCTGAAGGTTAGATATTCGTGTGCATTCAGATAAAATATTTGAATTTGATATCGATGATAAGTTTAGTAATGCTTCTTAATTTGCCCATTTAGAGTTATTTTTTAATGTCTATTTCAGAAAGTTTATCAGCAAGTATGATGTATGTACCAGATTCAAATTTAGTTCAGGATTTAGATGAGTCTGAATTGGCTGCTCCAAAACATTCCACAACCAAACTTAATCCACAACCAGAACCTGTAGTTGAACCGCCAGGGCCTCACGTTTCTATTAGTACAACAAAGGTAACTGATTTTAATAGTTTTGACTATTTGATCATTTCGTATTTTTAGTACATTTTTCAATATTATGAATGTCTGCAATAATAACAGGGTTAAATACATATGAGAATTTTATAATGCTGTATTGCAATATTTTTATTTACTTTATTTTGTATTTATTTTCCAGGTATGTCAACAAGAATTACCTTTGCCTGAGGGGGTGGAAGTTGTGCATGCCTCACCAGCTGCAGGACATTTGAGTTCATCATCAATTTACCCAGCATGTTTCGCACCTTATATTATAGTTACTGCTTGCTCTGACAGCACTGTTAGGTTTTGGAAATGCCAGGTTACTAAAACGAACGAAAAGGAAAAAGGTTCAAGAGAATACAATTGGTGTGAATGGGAAATGATTAGAAAGGATCAGGAATCAACAATAGATATTTCGGGTATGTTTTAGACGTAGATATACAGATATTTACATATATTACTGAAAGCACATCAATATTATTTGAATAGTTTATGTAAATATTCATATCAAATTATTTTTATTTTTCAAGGTCAACCACTTAATATAAGTGCCGCATACTCGGGAAGAATAGCTTGTGCTTATAAATATGGAAAATCATTCACTCGTCCACATAAATCTGATCCCGAATCCAGATTCGTTAATTTGTGTGTTGCTATTTATGAATGTGAAAGTACTGGTGGCTCTGAATGGGTTTTAGAAGACACAATCCACTTGAAAAACATTCACTTACCTAGAATTCAAGTTGATCCTCATCTTGATTTGAGCTATTGTATGACAGCAGATTTTTACAGAAAAAACAAAGGTTGACACAGGTAACACACATTCATTTTGAGAATTCTTTGTTATCATTTTACTACATTATATAGAATGTTAACAGTTGTTTGGTTTCAGGTATTACAAACATTGTCGCATGATGAAATTCGAAATAATCGCACCAGTACGGAATCTGTCCATGGTAATACACTATCTCCTACGTCAGCAGAAGCACCGAATGGGTTAACCAAAGCCAATGCTGGTCAGTAAAATTGTTTGTTAATATGTTTTAAATATATTATTATTGCTTTATTTGGAACTGTAATTTATTTTGAAAATAAACATTTTTTAGGATTATTAGCAGTTCCAAGTTTTTCTACTCTTCAATCACTTAGAAAGTCCATAACCGAGAATGGAAATACTTGTCCTTTGACACAAAAACATCTTGTACAGTTAGATTGGATATCTAAAGAGGACGGTTCACACATTTTAACTGTTGCTGTTGGAAGTAAAGTCATGTTGTTTACATCAGTTTCAACAGATTTGGCACAAGCTAATATGAAGGTATGGAGTATATAGGAATTTGACATTTTTAGTATCTACTTCATTTAAAGAATATTCTTTTCTTCTTATGGTTCTAGGCAATGAAAGAATCCGCTTCCACTAATCGACCGATATTGCGTAAAGCGAGTTCCTTGGCCGCGCCTCATTTCAATGATGAAATCCGATGGATGAAATTACGTCGAATTGACTTAACAACGGCAGATGGTCTTCCTCCATTGCCGATGCAGATCTCTTGGGTTCGTGATGGAATTTTAGTTGTCGGTATGGACAGCGAAATGCATGTTTATTCTCAATGGAAAGCAAATGCAGATCAAGGACAAACACCACCACAGGTAATTCATCGCCGGTTGAAACGGTTCATAAATATTCATATATTTTATCTAGAGAAAATATTTAAAAAAAAAATAATAAAACAGCAAACAGCAAAGTCCTCTTATATTTAAAAAGTTATTGATTATTAATTAATTTAAATAATTGTTTATTAGGAATCAGATGAATTATATGATACTAGAAATTTGAGAGATGAAGATCTTCGTACAATTGCTCATGAGAGTTCTCAAAGACGGTTAAATAATGTTAGTTCGATGCCTCACTTGTCTAGAGTCAGTTCTATTAATCTCCAAATGTTCCAAGGCGGTGGCACTATAGACAGAAGAAAGAAAAGCAATACAAATCTACAATCAGAACAGGTGAAAAACTTGTAACAATGATTTATAATTCTTTTTATCACTTCAGTAGAAAAAAGTGAATATTGTTTTTGTTTGATAGGCGCCTGCTTTAGATTACATGCCTGACTATGGTTTATTTGAGGCTTCAAGAATAGCGTGTCCTGTATTGCCACAATATCATCCTAAACAACTTATGGAATTATTGAACAGCGGGAAAATTCGTTGGGTTAAAGCTATATTAGCACATTTAGTAAGGTAATTGTATTACATATGTGTGTACAGTTGAATATTTTTATAGTTACATCCAAGGCTCTTATCGAACAAGTCATAATAAGCGGACGCCATATAAAGCGTTCTGTGGAAGAAAACCTTTTTATGTAAACATGTATGTACTTAATTTTTTTAATAGAGATACATAGTATCTATATTCAAAAGACATTGTAATGGTCAAATTATTATTTTCGATATTGCTATGAATTAATTTGTAAAGAATTTTCAAATAAAAATCATACTTGGTAGTATACGTCATTATAAACGGCTAGTCAATATAAGCGGTGTCATCATCAACAGATTCTAAATACACAGCTTTACAAATGTAGCTACTTGAAGAAAGTTAGCGAACATAAATATATGATATTTGATTTCTTTATACAGATGTATCAGCGGAACTTATTCCTTGAATACTGCAGGGGGCGATGAAGACAGTTTAACCAGACAGGTATAGAAATCCTAATTCACTTATTTTGCAATGCACATTGTTTTTAACTGTACCCATTCTTCAATATATACTAACCATTCACTGTTAGTTTGAAAGTGTATGTGGTTGTTTATTCTGTACGATATATTACTTCACTCAATAAGTCCATAAGGTAACTAAGGAAAACTCTTTTTTTTTTTTTTTGTCAAAATCATTATTAGTTATCCTACGGACTTATTGAGTGGCATTATACAACTTTGTATATTATATTATAATGTATTTTATTATTTGTATAAATTAGTTCTTCACCACATTATTTTGCTTTTATTAATTTGGCATGCTAAAAGCTGTGATATACTACTAATCACTATGCTTTTGATGTTTTTATTTTCCATTATTTCTGGCATTGTTTTTCAGCGCGGGTGGTCTCGCTCGCGAACCTTGTCGGTCAGTTGTGTACCTGGCACTGCCAGTCCTCTAGAACCAAGAAATTCTACTACTCAAGTAAGTCCCGACACTCCAATATTATGATATTTTGAATAAGCACATATGTGATATCTGAAATTTTTTATATTGCTGAAATTTATATTAAAACAATATATTTTTTTACAGTTTCCTGAAGAGTTAACATTAGACTATGCAGAAATCACCTCTATACCACCCTTGCCGTTGTGGACATTGCTTGCTGCTGAGAAAGAGACAGCTGCTACAAATGAGGATGGACAAGTAAGTAACCATTTAATTAATATTATTAAAATTATTAATTAAACAGCGTTCAATAATAAACAATGTTTATAGGAATATAATAACTTGTTTGATGCAAACACAACTAATTGCGAGGAAACTTTGGATGATTTACTGGAATGTGATACAGATTCACCTAGAAGATTTGATAGAAGAGCTTCAGTGCCGGAAAGACAAGGTTTATCTTACTTTGGGCCTAGACAAGGTAAATTAAAGTACATCATAGGTCAACTAATAGTTTTATTAGCAGTTATTGTAAAAATTATAAAAAATTATTGAATATCAATAACAATGTCAAAAAAATATAATTTAGTATATGAAATACACTAGGCAGCAGCATGCATGCAGCATGATTGAAAGAATACAATTCCTATTACTTGGTGAATATATTTCACTAGAAATATAAATTTTTGTAGCTTGTAGATTTATATTTACTCATTATATTTTTTGTGAAAATTTAGAACATTTCATTATTAACGTACCTGGTATAGTTTATTAATAATTTATAAACTTATAGCATTTATTGAAATAGCATTTTTCACTTTTTAGGTCGTTTACTCTCACGACTCTTGACACATACCCACATGCCTGGTTTGTCCAGCTTAGATCAGATGCATTTACTGGCCTTGGCTGACACAGTATCTTCATGTAACACTGATTTTGCTGAAAGATTTGCAAATGATGCTGCACGAAATGCAATTGCTAAAGAAAATCTAAGCGGAGTACCGGACACTGAAGTTATTTCAACAGGTATTTACCGATATTTATATTATATTTTTAATCTTGTAATAGATTAGATAATATAGTAATAGCTTTTTTAATAAAATAATTATATCCGATCACGCGTTGCTTATGATATTAAAAATTATTGTAGATTCATTGGATGATTGCGGTTTGCGGTTTCTATTAGCCATGAAACATTACACATATTTATTGCGGTGTCTACCTATTGCACAGAGAGCTCAATTCCAAAGACAAGGAGTTGGAACAAACAATTTAGTTTGGGCATTCCATTCCGAAAGCGAGGAAGAATTATTAAACGTTATACCTTCATATGCGAAAGGGCAAGCAAAATGGAACACACTTAAGGAATTGGGTGTTGGATGGTGGTTACGTAATAGTACTTTATTAAAAACTTGTGTAGAAAGGTTGGCTAAGGCTGCCTATCAAGTTAATCAAGATCCTTTAGATGCCGCTATTTATTACATTGCAATGAAGAAGAAAACGCTGGTTTGGGGATTATTTAGATCGAAACGAGATGAAAAAATGACGGCGGTATGATTACATAAATTGGTTGATAAATGTTTTTATCTATTATGTTTAAAATGTTTTTTTCACAGTTCTTCAGCAATGACTTCACAGAAGATCGTTGGCGAAAAGCAGCACTAAAGAACGCTTTCGCGTTGTTAGGAAAACAGCGATTTGAACATGCAGTTGCCTTTTTCTTATTAGCTGGTGCTTTGCGTGATGCTTTGGAAGTTTGTTTGAATAAACTAGAAGATTTGCAACTAGCAATGGTGATCGCTAGATTATATGAAAGTGATCGCGAACCAAATCCACCAAACTTAAAACGGCTTCTTTATGAAGAAATTCTTGGGTATGTAAATAATTTTATAATAATACCTCGAACTACGAAATAAATAGATAATTGACTACGTGTTCTTTATTCTGCAGCTGCGACGCTGAAGGCAACAATCAGAACACAGCAAAAATGCATCCAGATCCTTTCTTAAGATCCATGGCTTATTGGATTTTGAAAGAACATTCTACTAGTTTAAGTACATTATTACAAACAGGCGTCGGTCATTTACATTCCGCCCATGATGACGAAGCAGATACTAGAACTGACGGACATTGTACAACTGATCCGAATGTATTCAACTTTTATGTGTATTTGAGAACACATCCATTACTTATCAAACAACATATTGCATCAACAGCTCAGGTATATTTAATTATAAATTAATTATTCACATTTATATAAATCAATTTTATTTGATAATTTATGGTTGACAGGAAAGACAAAAAGTACATGTTGCCCTAGGCGGCTTTAGTTATTCTAGTGTTATTGGGGATGCTAATTCCAAAGTTGATACAGGCAGACATTTAATGCTCGAAGATTCCATTACACCTCTAGAAAGGCAATTATACTTTACAACCGCTCATGGTCATTTTAAAGCGGGCTGCCCAGCTTTGGCTTTAGAAGTCCTAAGTAAACTTCCAAATAAAGTTATTGATCCATCTCAAGGTAATCATTGAACTCCCAAATTTACTACAAATCTTCCTATTGAAGAAATTAAACATTAATATGATAATTCATGATAGTAAGTTTTGCATTCTATTATTATTTTAATAAATTGCAGGTGATTTAAATAGTCCAACCAAAGGTAAACCACAAGATCTCAGAATTGATACAGGCATGCTATCGTTCGGTGATACAACAACCAAAGGTATGAATTTTGATCAATTTCAAATCTGGTACTCTGGTATTCGTATTTATTATTAATATTTTTATATTTAGATATTACAAACACAGAAACATCAGATGATCTCTGGGGCCCGCCCGCACAAAAAACAGAAAGCTCAGATTTTGATTGGGGTGCTCCAGTTAGCAATACGAAAGAAGAGGAACTAGTTTTAGATTGGGATGATGATAAATCAGAGCAGTAAGTAAACTCTTGTTTAGCTTCTATTATTATTAAGTTCTGTGTTTTTATTGCTTTTCTATTATAGTTCTTCTGGGTCTGATGACGCACCCATGATGAAGATTGATAAGAAAGTACAATTAGAAACACCGGCGCCGCCGGAACAATCTTTAGGTACATTTGATATTATGGCACAACAATTGAAATTTGTTGCATGCTTGAAAATTCTAATGGAGGAACTGTCCACATTGGCTACTGGTTATGAAGTTGATGGTAAGATTTAGTAATTTCTTATTATACAATATTCAGTCAGTTTTATCATATTTTTCTGTATGAAAGTGAAATTTAATAATATGCTGAATGGTAATCTTCAGGAGGCCAACTTCGATATCAACTGTATATATGGTTGGAACATGAAGTTGACGCTCTGCGACAGCTTTGCGGTTACAGTCTCGGCGAAAATGTCCAGCCTAAGAAAATTCACGAAAGTTCAACATTGGATATAAGTTCAAGCAATCTTAATGCCTCAACAACTAATTTAGAACGATCAGATACGCCGACACCAAGTACTAAGCATGAATGGCCAACGCTACATGAAATTTTGATGGCTGAAAAAATAGACTTTGAGAATAAAGTTCAAAGAGCTGCTAAAAGGAAGAAGTGGTTGAAAGGTAATTTATTTTGTCATAACTATTAAATCTCGCTTATCAACTACTTTATAGTTTTTTATTGAAATTTTATAGCAAATGAAACATTGCTAAGAACACTTCTATCATATTGTTCACTACACGGAGCAAGTGGCGGCGGATTAGCATCGGTCAGAATGGAGCTAATTCTGTTACTTCAAGAACTTCAGCAAGAGAAGTCGCAACAACAGCTCTTATCTCCACTTCCATTCCCTACTACATTGCCTTTGTTAAGTGCGACAGTTGCTGGCAATAAAACAGTTATTGCTGATCCAGTACGACACTTGCAATCTCACGCACATGATATGCTACAGACAATAATAGAATTATCAGGGCCTCCTCAAGTAGCAAATATACAACAACTAAGAAGAGTTTTTGAGCTCAGAGATCTAGCAGTGGCTTTATCAGCTTGCATTTATCAATCGTTATGTGACAGTGATACATGCAGTATAAAGAACGCGGTATCGAACGAAGCATTTTTAAGCCCCGGTTTAGAAAATATAGCGCGACTTAACGCTACCTGTGGTAGTACTCATCTCATTGGAGGAGCGCACGCTAGAAGAAGAAAATATTCAACGGATGAGCCCGTCACTGTTAGTACACCACCAAGTAAATGGCCAGGTGTTACCAATTTACGAGCTTTGCTCGCACGCGAAAAAGATGAAGATTCGCCTCGTTTGAACCTACTTCTTTGCGAATCTTTTGTAGCTACATACATGGCTTTAGTAGTTTACTCTCTTTGCACATGTGATTCCCATATTTTGTACAGATTAGTTGGTCATAAGTTTTCTAATATGACTTGGGCTAGCTTATTTGGAGGCGGTGTCAAGAAGCTACTGCGGTCTGCTAATCTCCAACCACAACCTGCAGCTAATCAAGATAAAGAACCTACAACCACTAAAGATTCAATGTGGAATGCAGTTACATCACTAACTAAGCAAAGAGTCAGGTTGAACATGAAGTTGCTGGGACAGTTTTCAGGACAAAGTGGACCGAATATGAAAGAAGATAAACCAACTTATCGAGAGCAATTTGTTCCACCTGAAATGTCCATGGTAGCATATTTCTTACAAAAGGTAAGTAAATATAATATTTATAATTTTCATTTGCATTGTTTAAACATATGCTAATTTATCAAATTTTGAACAATATTACTTTACTTACAAAATAGACACAGTATGTTGGTTCGGACGATTACGACTACGATTCAGCAGAATCAGTAGCATCTGATTTAGAGTCTGAAGAAGAAGATGAAGAGGATGTGTTTGCTAATCCTCTGAGCACTGACGCCAGGTCCTCGCAAGTAGCAACTGCACTTCGGAGACATCGTCGCGAAAATACGCAGCATTCGAATCCACACTCATATTCATGGTCTATCATACGATTAGCTGTTGTACGAATTGTGCAGAATCAATTGACAGAGTTTCTCAATATTGCTGGAATAGAAATGCAAGGTTAATATTTTCATAAGCTGTGTTTTCATATCATGAATAGTTGTTATTAATATGTGGACATTATAACATTGTGCCACAACCAGATTTATCCTTATAGAAAATTAGACAACGGTAATTTGTGGAAAAGGATTACCGTAGACAATTTAACACAAATATCTTTAAAATTGTTCATTTTATCTTTTTTGTCTTCCAGCAAATGTGTTTAAGCATTGAGATTAATTTATGATAATAACTTGTTTCAAATAAGAAATATCGTAACTTCAATTTCCACAACACTATGTTTATAATCATACATTTTTTTCTTTAAATTTAGTTTTTCATTACAACTTTCGATATTTTTATATTACATTTCAATTCAGAATTGCCTGTGAGCAGTCCTCTGATTCATGGCATTTTGCGTTCATTATCGCAGTGGCAACAATTACTTTCTGAGGAATTAGAATCTAGAGGTCCAGCTCCTGCAGACTACATTCCAGGATGTTATGTTGAAACCACTGCAACTGGACCTGCTATCCATAAATACAGGTTTGTATTAAAAATTTGAAATTTTTTTGTGTTTTGATATAATTTTGCATTGATGGTTTTTTATGTATTTCAGATCGTTATTGGAGAAGGGAAATACACCCTTTAGTCCTGTACTGGCAGCTGCCGCACCAGTTACGCGATTGTGGATGTATCTAGTCAAACAAGAACTTGTACAGGTAATAAAATATATGATAAAATTATGCAAAAATGTTTCAATTTCAAATAGACATTTTAATAATATTTATAAGTTAAACAAAAATAGTAGACAATTTTCAAAATATTGTTCTGACGACGTGACATTTGTGGTGCTTGCTTTAATTGTAACGATTTCGTCTATTACAAAGTTTTTTTTTACTCTGGTAAATCAAAACTTGGTTATCAATTATTCATAACAACTATTAATTGCATTAAATTTATATTTTCATAAGGAAATTTTCATTCGAGCCGTATTTGGCAAACGGCGATCGCTAGCTGCAATCCTGGAACCCTTAAATGGTGGTTCCGGATGCGCATCTGTTGTGGATGGAACATCTCGAAGTGGTTCAATTGTTCAAGATGGTGACAGATTGCCAACCGAACAACTTCAGCAACCCGTACGAATAATTCATAAGGAACAAGATCATATTTCAGCATTCTGCTTAAATCAGGTAAGAAAATATTGGTACACATGTTATACTTGATTATGATTCAATAAGCATAAATGTGTCAATTATTTTAGGTAAATCCTGGTTTGCTAGCTCTGGCAACACCACGAGAAATCCAAGAAATGGATATCTCCCTATTATTAGATTCACCATCTTGGTTAGAAGATGAATGCGAATTCGATATCATGAATTTAAACAAAGATGTTGACACGTTGCCGTCGAGCGGTTTTCTTGTTATTCAGACGTCAACTGACAAGTAAACTATAATTACTTCACATTTATTTTTAACATTTTTCAAAAACTCAAATTAATAAAACTTTTAGAAACATTCTGAGTCATAGTCCAAATTCCGGTCATAATTATGCAATGCCATCCAGTCCTCAGCCTGGAATTGCTGGTCAATCAGGAAGAGGTGCATCTGTGGTAATATACTTAAAAATATTTATATATATATATATATATATATATATATATATATATATATATATAATCATATCATGTAGAATAATTTCATTCAATGGTTGAAGTACATACATAATTTAATGTTTAAAATATGTTATATCGAATACTAAATAATCTATCGAAATGCATATCATATATGCTTATGCAACTACTAATTTTGTGACAGTTTACTGGCACTTTGTGGTGAAATGTTTTGAAGATTGAAGAAGTATTATTATAATGAAATCAATGTTGAATTGGTTAAAAACGACTTTTGCAGATAAATGAGTCATTTCATGATTTTTTGATATTTCTTCCTTCTTTTCTTTTTGCCATTTCATCCAAATAAATATACTAGCTTTCTCATACACGCTGACAGATATCATGAGCAATTATGTTCATGTCCTTATTAGTTATTGCGATTAATAGTTTGATTTTATTTTATGGAAGATAAGTTAAATAGTACTTGATTAATAACTTTCCTACACAGGAAAGTATGCAGCTTATAATAAATAGATAGATTTTTGCTGCAATAGATGATATGCTTAAAATATGTATAAAATAATGATTAAATTAAATCAACAGAGAATAGATTGCACATAGAACCTTTGAACTTTATGATAGTTATTTATTGTAATCTAATAGGCTATTTTGAAATAGTGTGCATTTCACTTATGAACACACTGCACTTACGTCAATTACTTATCTTTTTTAAATTATTATGAGTCTGTTTTGGAGATTATTATATACGACCATTTTATTTTTAAAAAAAAACTTATGTTCATGATTTCTTTTCCGTTATTGAGAAAACTATTAACTGTCACTGTTTGTGTGTGTGTGTTTGCTTTTGCAAATATCGTTTGTCTGTTTGTGTGTTTTGTGCTGCCTTTCCTTGAATTCTGTCTGGGATGTGATATAAGATGAAAGGTGTCAGTTTTCCTGGATCTCACAGTCATCGATTCTGTCAACTGGTGGTGGACCGAAGCAAACATTTACTCAAGCCGGTAACAAAGTTTCCAGACAAATTGAATTGAATTTCAGTACTGTTATATTTTAATTCTTTATCTGTAACGACTTTTTTAATTTGTCTTGAATATAATGTTCTAGTCCATTCAATAATATATACATTTGTTTTGTATATATGTGACCCAATGCATGAAAATGTTTAATTGTGTTATTTTCATTATAATGGATACCTTGCACATAATTTACATTTGTTTGCATAGTTTGTCATCATCCTCAAATGAAATATGGGTACTAAATACTCTGAGCTTTTATATGCACTTCTTTATTTAAGTGATTATATTTATTTATTTGCTAGATTTTTTATGGGTTAGCAGTAGATATGGATTTGAAACCAGAGAAACATTTGAACAGAAGTTGACTTTTTGCATTGGCTTATCATTATTTATTTCATATTTATATGTGTATAGCTCAGTTTTTTCAGTGAATTTATGACAAAAGACTATTGTCTCGTATCTTTTCAGGTCTTGAAACATAAAGTAGACAACATTAAGCGAATGTGTTCTCATCCTCTGATGTCACTGTGTGAGTAAAAACACTTTATTAAGTTGTATTATTTAATTTTAAATTTGACTATATAATTTGTGCCATTCTAACCTTTTCAGATTTGACTGGGGGGCAAGATGGTTCAGTACAATTATGGGAATGGGGTCATCAGCAAGTGGTATGTACTCCAAGAGCACCAGGAACTTTTGCCAAAGTAACTAGAGCGAGATTTTCGCAGCATGGAAATAAATTTGGTATCGGTGACGGAGATGGCAATCTCAGCTTATGGCAAGTGGGATTAGCCAGTAATGCAAATCAATCATTCTTTGTAAGTCGATAGATTAATTACTGCTGTTGATTCATAAAAACTTCATATTTAATATTTTTTCAGACATACCAGTGCCATAACAAAGGAATTGGAGATTTTGTGTTTTTGGGTTCTTGCAGTTTATTAGCTACAGGTAATGAACCATATTATTACCTTGAATTATTCCTTATTATCATTTATTCTTGAATTATTATTATTATATTGAATAAATATTATTATTTTGCATCTACTGCAAGTAAAGACTGATAGTTAACTGATAATACATCATATGCCATCTAATTATTTCATATTTATATTCTTTAGCTGGCCATAGTTCTGAGAGCAAAAATGTTGCAATGTGGGATACTTTGATGCCAAGAAAGAAATCCCAGGTGACTGCATTTACATGTCATGATCAAGGTGCCTCTAGTTTAGTCTATGCACCCCAACATCAGCTCCTAATCTCAGCTGGTAAAAAAGGAGATGTTTGCATTTTCGATGTCAGGCAAAGGCAATTGCGACATCGTTTTCAGGTACGCACATTATTTATTTTATATTTATTTATAATATATATATATATATATATATATATATATATACACATACAACTTGTACATATATAATACATATTACTACACCTATTGTACATTATTGTATAATATAAGGTATAAGGTGAACGTTTCAAGTACAGTAAAACCTCCATTATCCGGACTACTAACCGAGACAAAGTTATATGTACCTACAATTCGAATTTTTGCACTGATCTAAGAAAATATATATTGTACGTACATAAGGAAATGTTAATTTCTTATTAAACATTGATTTTCGTTGATATCTATGTATGTATTTGTTATTTTTGATAAATACACATCATTATTCTTCATACATTGGATTATCCGGATGCCTATCGACAGCAATTAGTCCGAGGTTTTACTGTATGTATTTCGGTACTGGTTGTCAAGAAAATATTATATTTAGACCGGTTTTGGCGAATTGAAAGAATAACATATTTTGTAGTGCTTGTAGATTTATATGTGTAATTTCTAAAGAGTTGTATGAATATTCATAGCGCATTTTGTACAAAATAAACTGTCGTACAATATAATACAAAACAATATAACAATCAGAAAATTATTAGTCGAGAAATTTTTTGATAATTTAGGTATGTATTTAATAACAATGAATACAACTTTGTGTATTTTTCCTGGATCAAGCTTACATCAACATTCCGATAGATGCAAATAATCGACATAATCAGTAAAGAACAAGTACATATTTTATGAGTGATTTATTTGCTGTTTCTATAATATGAGGAACTATTGCTTATAGTTTAAATATTATACCAAATGCAAATAGTTGTATGTCTTAAGAGCATACCTGTTTTTTCAAATACTTGGACGTCGGCCCTAAATTCATAAATTGTCTTTTTTTCAACAATTTATCGCAAAGTAACGGTCCAGCTGGTCGTAATAAATAATACAAATCAACGTGTGCCTTTCTTATGGAGGATATTAAATGGAGTTCGAATGTTTTAAATCGATGCAGCCGTTTTTAACAAAACGGTGACGAAATTCACCTTTCGTCGGTTCACAGACAGACACATACATACTTTTTCTTAGTTTGGTCTCGCACGATTCAGAATGTCTTGAAACGTCGAGAAAACGAAAAACTAGCAAGTCGATCTTCTTCTGGAAGTTGTAAGAATTAAGAAAATTATAAAATATTTTTATTAAACAAAATAAAAAGAAATTAATAAAAAAAATGCAAGCAATTTTTTGTTAGAAAGAGTAACGTTCTGTGAAGCAGCACTGAAACTACTAAAACCGATGTCGTACACAGGTATGATATAAACTGGCATGTTTATATAAACATATTTTTTGAAGTAACATAGACGGAAATAAATCCTATGATAAAAACTTTTACCACAATATCCAGTTACTAGAGACCGAAGGATCTTATGGAATGTTAAACGAAAACCGCGTTATCGGTAGTTTGACGCAATTCCCGCTCCGCGTAGTATGGAAACCTCATTCCCAGACTATCTCGTTTCTGGGGGATTGACTGTTATGCGTTCGTATTTGAAAGCTTCTACAATAAATTTCTCTATTTCTATTAGGCCCATGAAACTCCGATCAAATGCTTAGCAATGGATCCAAATGAAGAATATTTTGTAACGGGTTCCGCCGATGGCGATGTGAAAGTCTGGGGTTTGTCCATCCACTCACTTTTGCATTCATTCCCTGGCGAACACGCCAAAGGTAGTTTTTTCAAGACAATCGGTCAAGGCGTCACCCAGCTTCACACGGATGGGGCTGGCAGATTATTTTCATGTGGCGTCGATGGTAGCATGAAAGTTAGACAATTGCCGCATCCACTTTACTAAATATTAGGTATGTACCTTGAAATTACTTGCAGACATCAATTTTGGTGATTTATCTAAAAAAAGTTGTTCAATACTATGAGTTTATTTAATTGGTCGTACTTATAATAAACTTAAAACAATTAAGTTTTATAAACAATCAATGTTGAATATTCCTTGTTATATTTTGGAATGTTTATATTGTAAGAGGAAATTGATGGTCTATTATGCAATTTTTTGCTTGTGTAGTTATATACATTTTATCGGTCAGTATCCAGTCTAGTTTCATCTAGATTAGATCATAATTTTTTCTTCGATATATACTATAATTATTTTTGTTATTATTCTATTTTAAACTTATCGACGTTATTTTACTGACATCCCCAAGAAAAACTAGCTGGTCATAGATTTATTATACTAACATAATTTTGAATAAACAAGTGTATAACAGTATTACATAAATCAACAAAATGCTGTATCAAGTATTTTAAAATTAAATATTTTCATGTTGATCGTATACTAATAAATATTTCATGTTTAAATAATAAGAGACAATATTGCTGTTGTTAAAACTTTCTAGATAAATCTAAATTTTTCAATAAATTTATAAAATTTAGTTTTGTAATTAATTAATTGTGTAATTTGGGAATTTTAAAGTAACATCACATAAAAAATACGTACAGAAAGTTAGTCGGTTAACCTAAATTTAATTAAACTAAAATTTAATATTATTTTTGTTAAATCATTCAGAAATATTATGTTATGAAAAATATTATGTAACAATATTATGTTATTAGGACTATTTTGATAGCCGCCTCAATTTTTTATATAAAATTGTACTAATAATTCGCGTTTATTTGTGATATTTAACTAATTTTATATAGTTCTTATAGTTAATATATATAAACATTGTTGATTAACTTACAGCTAAAAAAGTTTTTAAATATTGTGTAGTATAGTTATTGAATTATATATTGTACCAATTGTAATATTTATTGCTTAAATATATTATTCAAATTCTTGTTCATACCTGTACTTTCTTTAGGATTATGTATGATAATGTTGGTAAAATCGTTTGTTTATGCCTATCTATGATATTATGTAATTTCGGCCAAATAGTTTCGAGACGAGGTTATAGAAATAATAAAATTAGTTGTTGTTTGATCATGACAAGTGCAACATAATGTGGATCGAATGTGATTTTGAACGAATTTACCGATGACGACTATCAAACTAAATGTTACTGTACATTGTGTGATTATTAATAATGGCGTTATAAAATAGTGTTAGTTTTTATTGTTTGAACAACAATCAGAACTACATGTGTTTGATGAACCGTTGTTGTGATTCCTTAACCTAGTGGTCATCAGAATGCAGCCCAGCGGTTGATCATTTGACGCCATATTTAAAGTTGGATTTTTTTATTTAATAATTTCACATATCATATTTTAGATTAAGTGAAAATCTGTTAGCACCATTGATTTATACCAAGATGGACGAAGTGGGTACCGAGTCTGGAATCAGTGGTTTCTAGAACCCCGTTTTGATCATGGAACCATGGCCGGTTAAGGAATAGTGGTAAGTAAAATATAATTATACTTGTTTTATTCGAAAAACTGTCTTATTAGACAAATGAAAACTTACTTTTTATAATACCATGACTTATTTTGTTATAATAAAAACTTTTGCATATTGTGCAAAATAGTGAACAGTCATACATTTAATGTAATAAGCAAATAATACACTATGCCGTCTGCGGAACATATTTGTACTTACAATTAGACAAGTCTGATGAATCATTGTATTTATAAATATCTAAAACCTTTATTTAGTAAACGATAGAGTTTTATTTTATTTCCATATCATTACAATCTGTCTGAAAAGTCATTTAGTAATTTTGGTGATTAATTTGTAGAAATATGATTATCAGATGGTACCCAGTGGTAGTCTTTTTAAGTGTGAAAACTAAATGATTAATGTTTGAGGGAAGCAAGTCTTTCGCTAGTTGATTCGGTTGATTTTTCAGTCTAGTCTTGCACTTACAATTTCATGCAAGTCTTGTGATTTTTTCTGTTACCGAAAGTATACTGAAGGCTCGGTGATTCAGCAGATTTTCGATTTAGTCAATTGACAATCGTTCTTTCTCTCAATGTTTACTTTTATCTGATTATATAATCCACGCCTACGTTCGTTCCCAAATGCACAAGTGCATATAAAAATAGTTTTTATTAAAATCAAAACTGTAATTAGTAGATGATAGATATGTATTTAATATTTATTTAATAGAAAATTGTTCTTTCGCTAAACGTTTTCATTTAATCTTTTATTATGAATCATCAATCAACAGTAGGTACTATAACTTTATTAGTGTGATTTGCAATTTGTGATTGATTTAATATGAAATCATGCGGGTTTTGATACATTTACACTAATTCTGATATTTGACACATATCAGGTGATTGATAGTATAATATAACTGATCACATTTACGCATTAATACATGCTTGCGAATATATGGGAATGCTTTGGCATGCAAAATGTTTAATTCAATTACTTGCAATTGTCTTTGATAAAGGTATTAATTTAGTAAGATAGAGGGATATTGCAAATAATCAGAATTAATATTTGAATTGTTTGAATTACTTGCTAAACATTAGCTAGTATAGAACCACTTGCGTAACTTGGCAATTTGTATTAAAAAATGTTTGTGTTATATATATATATATATATATATATATATATATATATATATATACAATCGTTTATAATTTATGAATAAGTAGCTGTAGATTCAATTACTATTATTGATTTTCTTTGTTTTCGTTTTACGACTTAGTTTTATATTCGCTTTTATATTGGCGTTAAATAAGGAACATAACCCCGCATAAATCTATACATGATGTGGTAGGAATATCGGCGGGCAAAGACATACTTTTCCTTCTTAGCCTTTGGCGCCAGACCGTTTTATTCAGAATTTCTCCAACGTTTTGCTGAAGGAAAGATACAAGAATGGATTTTAAAAAAATTGGGTATATAATAATATTATCATTCATTCTTAATTTCTTTTACGAGGGGCGTATTTTTTTCATTTTGTTCATTAATAACAATAAAAAAAATAAACTAAATTTAGAATTGTTTATAATCAGGTATTCAATGATTTTACCATTCATTGCACGTTCTTTGCGATACGTGTATTGATTTTTTTTTAATTCGCTTTATCAATCAATCAATTTTATCAATGATAACAATCAGAAAGTTAACTAAGTTTTACACGTTGTATTTAATAGTGTTACCATTCATTATCAACCTCATTTACGATGCGTGTATTTCATTTTGTTCATTTTTTATCATTAGCAATCAGAACATTAACTACATTTCATAAGTAATTTTGATTTACATTTTTCATTTTTTTTATCTTTAACAACAATTTACTGCAACTATCTTGGTTTGTTCTTTTATTTTTCAAGGTGAATATTTGTAATAAAACTATAAATGCGTCGGACTATGAATTCGCATCGGATAAACTTTAAATTTTTAATTAATATGATCTTATACGGAATAATTGGCCATAAAACTGGTACTAGTGATTATCTATGATTGATCTACATTATTAACACAATCCTCACATGTAACAGAACAATATTCGGTTATTGCTGAAGACGGTGCATTAGCAATGACGGCAAAATTAGTTTTCATGCTAACTGAGAGATGATAGTATGATAACTTATTTTCATTTAAGGTAACAAAAGCATTATTTGAATTAAAAGTACTAAACATAACTATTACTTCAAATCTAGTTCATAATAATTATGTGAATATCACAAGAAATATCACAAGAACCACTAACTAAATATTTGAGAGCAACACAACATTAACAAAAGTATAAATGTAGTTGAGAATATCAAATATTGACATACTTTGTGCAAGTTTATAGTTCTATAAAATTGAAAATTATTGTTTTTTATAAAACTTGGTAACACGCAGATGGAATACCGAAACCTGTTATCGAACCTTTGAATAGAACCTATCGTATTTATAGTTATAATAATCTTGTTGTATTATTAATAATTGGGCATTTTAATATGGTGATATTGAAAGGGAAGTGATGTGGCGACATAAGTTGGCCACGAATACGTATCATGACATTTTATAATTTGTAAAACGATCAGAGATATTAATATATTATTATAATTTTCTAATGCGGTCTATTCTATATAATTTTTCAACATTAGTAACTCAATTTTGGTTCTCTTAAGCGAGTATAAGTCACCATTTAGCGATGTTTTAATTCCTAATATAATTAATGATCTTTTAGATTATGTTTTGACATCGAAATTATTCTAAACAATATCTCCGACATACATTTATTTTTATCGCGGTTCACTAGCTATATTTTTTCTTTTCTTTTTCTTTATTACCTATTAACTTCCACTTTATCTCGGTATATTACCCTTTGCGATCGTATATCGGTATAATAGTTTATAATGTACCGATATACGAGTGCAATGGGTTAATATTTTGATTAATATCATGATGTTTTGTAATTATTTATAATTTCATAATATGTAAATATTTTGGAAATTGCTAAAAAATCGTGCGATCACATTTAGGAACCATTACACGTTGCGTGCCAGTTCGACTCTAGGCGGCTACACTCACGTAGTATGTAGTGCTACAGGCATTGTCGTATATTAATATATCATGGGGATAATACTTGCATTATTTTTTTATCATGCAGGGCACGTAATTTTTTCTTCATGCAAAATGAGTATTTTGATTCTAAATTATTCTGTATAGGACATATTTTGTTGCTATATTAGTATATTTTAAATATTTTGCTAAACGCATTAGTGTGTTAATATTATAAGAATAATATTGTTTATTAAAAAATATGCAGTTACTTTAAGGAGTTGTGGTAGTTATTGTCAAATAAGTTTTATATTGTTAACCATTTCTCCATTTTCTATAATTTAATTATATTATTTCAATTATAAATTAACTTTTATATTACTCAATACTTTAGCATGATTTATATTTAGAGTAGGCCTATTAAAAAGCCATAAAAAATATTTAGTGCTTTCCTATCCCTGATATACGTCGTCGTTCTTTTCATTGATCGTCCGAGCACCAATCGGCGTTGCGGCCTCATCGTGTCCTCATTCGTGAGCTTCGTAGCGCGTTGTACAAGGGAGGATGTAACTGTAAACAAGATCAGAGTCAGTTAAATTCAAACTAACTTTATTTTGGTATTTTATTTTCAAAATGGACACCCT